AGCACGGCAGCCGGATGAATAGCGGGCAAAGAGCCTCTATCCAGCACAAATCCGGACAAGAGAGCGGAGCTTCCTCTCCGCTCTCCTCCCCCCCGCCTGTATCTTCCCTCTTAACTCCCGTTACTGTCGAAAAATTGGTTGCTCCGGGCCCTTCCACTCTTCCCAAGAAAAGACAGACTGATAGCACATCAAATTCCAAAGAGCCAACCAAGCGCAGCCGTGTTGCCGAAGGATCAGCGGTGAAGGATACCAACAATAAAGGTGAAGATAACGACAAGATTTGGCCACCCTTGAACCCCGGTGGGGGTAGGCCTCCAATTTACTGCGGCAAACACATTAGTATGAAGCCTGAGAGCGGAGGGACCTGGTGGCGCTGCAAGATAAGAGACTGTTTGACTATTATACCCGACGCCCATATTCCGGCCGGAAGGGCTGTTATCCAAGACCACCTAAATGAGCATTACCTTACTATCCAGCGCGCTAGCTCCGCCCTCGAAGAGGTGCCTATCGCCAGCGAGCGTAGTCTCCAGTTGGTGCCCCGAAACATTCTACTTGTTTTGTATGAGATGTGCTGACTGAATGAGCAGAGCCCTTCTTGATAAAATCGAGAGGATGGCTAAGGTCTGGGAGGATATCCGCAGGGAAGATCTGAAAGATTTCGACGAAATCAACTCCGCTCTTATCGATCTCGAGCGCCAGCGCGAGCACGATCGTATCTTGGCCTTAGAGAGTGTGGCCGGGAAAGAGGCCGAGAGAGAACTTGAAGCGCATACAAAGGTTTCCGAAAGGGTGTTCAACAATGGGAGGGGGAGGGGGAGGGGGAAGGGAAAGGGGAAACAATAACTTCCTCTCGACACAAGGCAAATGGAAGAAAAGAAAGAGGTGGCTAGTAGTGCTACTGGTTGGGATATAGCTTACAACTCCAAAGGGGGCAAACAAGCTGTATTGATTTATCCTCCTTCCCCGTGCTTACTACTCTTTTTCCTTTTCTTCTTATGTGCCTTATTCTTTGTCTGTTTGTTCTCCAAAAGTTCCCTTTTTCCCTTTGTTTCCTCTTGCGTCGTCATAATCGGGTTTCATCTCTTGTCCTTCTCAATTGGTGTTTAGTTGGTCTGGATTTCTCCATTCTTCCTTTTCCCCTCCAACAAATGTTTGCCTTGTTATTTCTCCCTTCGTTTCTTTGCCTACCATTTTCCTTTTCCTTTCACTTTTTCTGTTTCGTTACCTTTTTTTCTCTTCAGACGCTAGTCAGGGACTGACGTCCAGGAATACACGAGTACCGTAATATGTTCTTCACGACCTTATCGTCATAATAATAGGATCTCATGGATGGATGGATGGGGGTGCACGGATAAATGGGATGGGGTTGGGAGGATGTTTCGTTTCTTGTTTCATTTCTCTTTTTTTTGTGCCTTTGCTCGCTCTCCATACAAGTACTCGAGTACGTTGGATTTGTATTCTACTGTATGAGTCTCCTCGGAGACTGGACGATGACATTTCATTGCAATTTAATGGACATGGTACATACTACTTCCGGCTCTTCTTCTTTTGTTGCTCCCCCCCCGCCCCTAATGCTCTTGGGTCCTAGATGATTTGTACTACGCACTGCATGGTATGTGCTATGCCGAAATTTCAAAGTCTGGGGAAGTGAAGCGCAGTGAACGGGGTATTCGCTATATATATCTTCTATACCTATATCTCCCCCCCTTTTGGGACGGGGTTTACGATGACACTTGTGGTACGGTTTGGAGGGTTCTCAAGCATGTTGTAGTGCGGTGGCGGCGGGTTAGAATAATCCGGAATCAAGAAACCGGGTACTCGCATTATTATTATTACCCTTCCAAAGTGATTGCTCCCAAGCGACCACCACGTAAAACAGTTCTACCCCGAATTTACTTGTTCTCAGTACCCACATGATGATCCATCTGCTTCTCCGGCGTAGGCGTGTCTTTGGAATGTTCAACAACCTCAATAGAAGGTTTTCCACGAGGCCCTTTTCCATGCCTTTTACTGGAGTTGAGCAATCTCAACAATACGTCGTGGTCCTCTTCATCACCCTCCTCCCCTTCACTCTCCCCACTCCCGCTCCCACCAGGCTCGGATACACTCCCATCCCTCTTCCCCTCCAAAACGCCCAATCCCAGATTCTATTGACCCATCTTCTGTCAGCCCCATCTGGTCCGGATACATCCTCACTCACTCACCATCTCAATATACCTCTCCTCTTCCACATCCAGCACTTCAATATTCCGCTTCCCGATCGTACCATCTTCAACTTCTGCCTGGAGGTCTTTGTTCGCGGCTTCCATTGCTGGTAGGAAGGCATCCAGTCGTGACATTACTATCATATCAACCTCCTCCCCCACATCAGCCACCGCCACCGCCGTTACCAACGCAATTGTGAATTTAATATAATTTATTATGCTTGTGAAGGGTAAGAGCAAGGAGAAAGAATGGAAATATACGCACAATCCGATGGCGTATCTACCGCTGCCATTCTCGGTTTTTTGGGTGGTGGGGGCGATTGAGCATGCTCGCTTTGCTCGGTTATGAGGGGGTGAGGTGGGTTTGATTTCCGCTCTTTTTCTTGCTCCTGGTCTGATGGCATTTTGTTGATCTTGGTTTTTGGTTTAGTGGTTTAGGTGGTGGTGGTAGTGCGGGTAGCTTGTGATTACGGACGGATGAGCTGGGTGTGGTGCGGTTGGAAGGGCTGTTTTAAACACCCGTATGCGGTTACTTCGCTTCGTAGGACCTGGTACTGGTGTTCGAATAAGTAAATTATGCATCGTGCCGTACCTGTCAGCTGTAGTCTACTTGCAGTACTAGTTCTTCGAGTCCTCGCGATTGGTATGGGGTAATATAGCACCGGAGGCATGCAGGTTCGCACTTCACCAGCACTTTACTCAAGTAGATGCTTGCTGTACGTACAGTGGTGCCTTTACATCTACATCTACAGGGAAATGTGGGCTTTCCCAGGCTATTATTCATGGGGCCGGGTTTGATGGGACAGCAGGCAGCTGGCGGGTTGCATGAGGGGAACGGGGCTAGGATGCTGGAGAGATGTGGGAGATTTTGATATTTTTCCTTGCTTTGGAAGTGAACATAGCTGACCTCCGTCTCCCTGTACCCAATGCACTCAGCGCAGGGATGTGGCAAAGGTGGTCGCTCTCGGATGCTTGTCGAGTAGGAACTTCAAACGTTCCGCTCACGAATGGTGACACTTTCCGACTAGTTTTGTGCCCCTCCTTCCCTCATCCAACAACCCAGTTCAAACCCCTCCAACCGCCGTCGTCGGACAAGGGCGAAGCCGGGCGCCTCCAATCAACGTAATAATCCCACGATTTCTCTCCTCCCTCCCTCCCCCTCCCCCTTCCCTCCTTCTCTTACTACCCCATCTTCTCGGTTCGGCCTTAGCTTCGTTCAACACAAAGAACTCCTCCCTCTCCCCCCCCCCTCCGTCGACAAACCAAGCTTGCCTCCTAATACCTATTTTGCACTCTTATTTGCCTTTTATTAGTTGGTCGAAGCACCTTTGCAACCAGAACCCCACTTTTTGCGAAAAGAAAAGGAGAGGATGGCTACTACCGCTACCAGCTCGACGACACCTACTTCTTCCCCTTCCGCCTCTTCTCTCCCCGCTCTTACTGTTAATGGCTCCTCGCCGACTACTGGGCCCGGGGATACCGGTGGAATAAGAGCGGAACTCCGAAAGAACATGTTGAAGAAACTCAGGCCGTACCCGTTGAGGCATGAATGGGTCTTTTGGCACGATAGGTGAGAAAGTCCCTCCCGCCCTGCCGGAGCCAATATCGATTCTCGGTGCTGATTAGTGGGGGTTTAGGAACTCAAATACGAACGAGGAGGAGTGGGAAGATCAGTTGAAGGAGATTGCAGGGATTAGTACTGTTCAGGTAATTATTGTTATGAAGATCTCTAAAGCTTTCCGGATCAGGGGTTTTCTTCCTAACATTTTAGGTTTAGACATTCTGGCAGGTCTATAATAATACCCCGTTCACTACACTTCCGCTAAGGGACTCGCTGCACTTGTTCAAGAAGAACGTGAAGCCTATCTGGTATGTTATCCCTCCATCATATATTGGAAGGTATTTGGTAAACTTATTATTACTGTCATCATCTGCTTAGGGAGGACCCGAGAAATAAGAATGGAGGTGCCTGGACATTCCGGGTTCCCAAATCCAACTCACAAGAATTCTGGAAAGAGATTCTAATGATGGCTATTGGTGAGGTCTTGCAGGAGGTCGTCCATAAGGGTTCGTTCTGCATCTTTCCCTTCTTTAATGCAACGAACGCTGACCAGGATCCTAGGCGATGACATCTGCGGAGTTTCCATTAGTGTCCGGTTCAATTCTCACCTCATCATGATCTGGAACCGCGACTCCAACAATCAGGAGAGTGTTGATGCTATCCGCGATAGAGCCTTGGAATCCATTCCGGAAGAGCTTCGACCTGCGCCTCAGAATTACTACTATAAGAAGCACTCGTCTCACAAATTCTTTAAAGGGGACGGTGCTGGGGGTGAATCTGCCTCGTCTTCATCCTCAATCCCAGCAGCCCCACAGCCGGCACCCCCGTCCTGAGCTATTTGTTTACAGCTTGTGGTTTTTTGGTCTGGATGGGTGATTGTTTCGTTTTTCTCTTGCGTATGTCATGGTGAGTTTAGGTGATTGTCGACTCGTTTGAGGTTGCATTCATAGTTATTGGAAAAAGCTAGTATGTTGGCACCTATGTGTTGGCAGAGTTTAAATGGATACCGTGGGAGTAAAAATTGAAAAACACATTAAGGAACACGCTCAATTGAAGTTGCAAAGGGACCTCAGCTAGTTTAATATTATGACATGCGCTATACTACACCAATTGGCCTAGGCACCCATTTCCCACTCCATTTCTTCCACCTGCCAATAACAACTTCACCTTCCTCCCTCCCCGTGGGCCCCTCACCTTCCAGTATCGATGTGGTAATTGCGCTTTCTGAATTCCCGGAAAGACGCATCTTCTTCATGGCTTCGTACCTGGCCTCAAACATCTCGACTTCCACTTCGACGTCATGGATTGACCTCTTCTTTCCCGTGAACTGTGTATTCTCTTCCTCCCCGTACGCTTTTGATGCCCTCTTCTTCATCCCCTCCTCAATCTCAACAGCCAAATCCCGTGACAGCAAAACCTGCGCCCCAGCCATCTCCACAAGCCCAGCATACTTCCCCCTCAGCGCTGCGTGCTCCTTCAACAAGTGTCTTAGCAGCCTCATAGTCCTATGGCCCCAGTCAGCCTACCACGCATCCAGACAAAAAAAAACATTCCTCCCCAGACCAGCACAAACTTACCATTTTGACGGGTACAAAACACACTGCTTCGCCAGCCCATCCAAATCAACCGGTGCATCCGGATTCCTCCCAAACCCGCTCTTCGCTCCAGCATTACTAGTGGTCAAATGCACTAACCAAGCCATAACGGCCTCCGCGAACTCGCATTGTTGCCCACCAGCAGCGACACGTTTCAAACTCTCCAGCATGGCCAACAGCAGCGAATTCCCAAACCCCAGCACAGCCGCGTCAAGCGCGTCGAGTAGTGGTGTCCAGAGAAGTATCGCGCCTTTCATTGAGGAGGGCTTGTGCTTGCCGGCAGGGATCAGTGCTTTTTCCTCTAGCAGTGCTTGTACCAAGCCGTCACCCGCAATGCAGATGCATTCTTTAATTAGACCCATGGTGAGTTTCGTTTCCTCGCGCCCGTCGCCAGACCTAAGCGCACGGGTGGGCTCTGCGCGCCGGAGTGTGCGGAAGGATTTTAGGAGGGCGCGGGCTTTTATTCCCCCTTCCTCTGCCGGCTCCGGGTCGGAGTCAGAGTCGGAAAGGCTGCACCAGTAGTTTTCCCACAGCCAGTCCAGCGCTCGAGTCGTCGCAGTGCGGAGCAATGGCAGGCTAGGGAGAGCCTCGTGTGTTGCTGCATGCCGGATCTCGACAAAGGAGGTTGGCAGGCCTAGCGTTTTTGCCAGTGTGTGCATTGGCAGTGCAAACGTGGAGGTTGCGTGAATCGACCGGACGCGCAAGACCGCTAGGCTGGCTT